ATCTAGTGTAATCTAGTGTTATTGAAGTAAAAGGAAAGCGTCTGAAGATTTGTACAAGTGTGCTAAATCGATCACGATTGTTATTTTACACATATATTGTTTTTGTTCACGTATACTGCAATAAGTTTTGGCATACGATTTCTCGAAAAAAAAAAATTTCGAGAAGATATTCAAACAAAATAGTATTGATATAGATACGAATATCGAAAGAAAATATCGATACAAAAATACCCGATATTGAAAGAAAAATATTAATATTAGTATTATATCAGTAGTATCACAACATCTCTAAATAATAGAGAGAATCTAATAACTTGCCATGACTGTATATTATAATTAATTGTAAATATATATCTTATACAGGGTGTCTTAAAATAATCTCCGAAGTTCTCATGGAAGCATAATACGGATTGAGGTGAACATAAATATACCATTTTATGATCGCAATAATTACCAAGATATTAATTAAAGAAGATTTGTGAGTGATCACGCGAGATATAATAAATGAGCTGTAGCAGAGAGCTGTCTGCTATTGTATGCTTGTACATTAGATCAAACTGAACAAAAAAATCCTGGATTATTTTCCTAATAACTTTGTAGATTTTTAATTATTTATTAATTAAAGAAAATTGACGAATGGTCACTTACGACAATATATTAATGTTCTCTAATGAGTTGTTTTATTTTGCAATTTTACATGTTAGCAGAAGATATAATAGCGTATACATATAGAAATTTTTCTGCAAATTTTTTCTTTTGCGCTTTTACATTCAATCGTAAAAATACAGCAATGCTCCTTGAAATTTTCGTTAGCGGAGCAAACATACAGCGGTACGCGAAAGCTGCAGAACCTTTGTATCGAGTAAATATTTACGCCAACTGACAATTCTAGAGATGCCAATTCTAAAATTTTTATCGTTCCCGTTATATATCGAGTAATGTTCCAATTTATTCTTGCATATATTTTTATTGTATAAGAACATTTATAATTTTGCGCAGCCAATACGATGTAAAATTTGTAGAGAGAAGTCTTCGGTAAAGTTTTAAAATATAGCACCCCTTTAAAGAGATACTGGAGTAGATGACGAATTCCAAAAATGACGATAGAGAGACAATTGTCACTAACACAATCACACTATTCTTTCCGTATATTTCTGTGTACCCTATGATCAGAAAGTACCGGGAATTTTTTATTTAAACGTACCGCGCATGCGGGAACCGGTTTATTTTTTTTTCTTATGTTGGTACGACCTTAAGACGCACATCTGTCAGGTTTTAGTGCCATCCAATCATTAGTGTCTGCCTGGCGTTTGTTTACATCAGTCAACTTTTTTCAATTTGTCGCATTTTACCATGGATAATGTTGTTGAACAAAGAGTTTGTTTGAAATTTTGTGTTGCGAACGAAATTTCGTGTGCCGATGCACTGAAAATGTTGCAAAAAGCATTTTGCGAATCTGCTCTATCAAAAACAAGAGCATACGAGTGGTATAAAGACTTTAAAAGTGGTCGTATAGTGGTGGAAGATTTGCCTCGTTCCGGACGTCCATCGACGTCGAACACCGATGAAAACGTGAAGAAAGTGAAAGAAATGGTGCTTGAAAATCGTCATACCAGCTTAAGAGAGATGTCTAGTGAACTTGGCATTGCATATGGAACGGCACAGCATATTGTGGTTGATGTTTTGGGTATGAGACGCGTGGCAGCCAGGCTCGTTCCGAAGGACCTGAATTTCGTGCAAAAACACCACCGAAAGACAGTTGCTGAAGAGATGATTTCTGAAGCCCAAAGTGATCCAACCTTCATGAAACGGATAATTACGGGCGACGAGACATGGGTCTATGAATTTGACATGGAAACAAAGCAACAATCGTCCGAGTGGCGCTTCGAAGACGAGCCGAAACCGAAAAAACCGCGTCAAAGCCGCTCAAAAGTGAAGGTGATGTTGACTGTTTTCTTCGATTGCCAAGGCGTAGTGCACTATGAGTACCTTCCACCGGGCCAGACAGTCAACAAAGAATATTATTTATCCGTTTTGAAGCGTTTGAGAGATGCTGTACGTCGCAAACGGCCGGAAATGTGGGCCGACAATTCTTGGATTTTGCATGATGATAACGCGCCATCGCACCGAGCCCGAATTGTACTGAATTATTTGACCAAACATCAAGTAAATACCATCGAGCAAGCACCGTATTCACCTGATATGGCCCCGTGCGACTTTTTTTTGTTCCCCAAGTTGAAGTTGCCACTTCGTGGAAAGAGATTTCAGTCGATCGAGGAGATCAAAGAGAATGCGACGAGGGAACTAAAGGCCATCCCTTCGTCGGCCTACCAGGGATGCATGGAGGACTGGGTCAAGCGTTGGCACATGTGTGTTGCTTCAGATGGATCATATTTTGAAGGAGATAAAATAAATTTGCCTGAAATTTAACTCTATTTTGTTTTATTTAAAAATTCCCGGTACTTTCTGATCATAGGGTATATAGATCTTACGTAAATGTATGTTGCTTTGTTTTGCCGTATTTAGCAGAAAACTTAACCATGCATGAATAAAAATCTTTTTACAAACTTCTCCGATATTTTGAAGTTTCCAAATTCAAATATAAACGTACAGCAATATTCTTTATATTTTGTCATGTATTCAACGATGCTCCAAGCTATTCCCGCACGTATTTTTATTGTGTGAGAGCATTTGTAATTTTATGCAGTTAATATAACGTAAACTTTGCAAAAAAAATCAGTATTCTATTCATGAAAATTTCGACTGTAGCATTTCTTTAATACAGAGTTGTAAAAATATCAATAGAAATTTTCTCGATCAATTTAATAATTGATTTGAACAAATATGTTTCAATTCAACTAATTGACAATTAATTCGTGCAAAATTATCGAGGAATGTTTAAATCACGATTGACTTCAATGAATTCAATTCAAAATTGTTCAATTAGCGATTGATATAAGTGAAGGGACTCAAAAACCATTTAAGTAACAATTGAACTTAGCAAATTTAATAGAAGACCTTTTAATTGACGATTGATATGAGCAAGTTCAATCGATTCAGTCGAAGATTGTTCGATTATTGAAGGTTACAATTGGTTTTGTAGATAATATTCATATCCTCACAGTATCGTGAAGGATATCGTAGAAAATGCCAATTATTGAGAAGAACTAAGTATGACGCGAATTGAAGGGAGCATATCAATTGTCATATAAAATTTTCGATTGAATAGATTAAATTTGCTTACATCTATTGTCAATTAAACAGCCTTTAATTAAATTTGCTAAGTCCAATAATCAATTTAACCAATAATCAATAATCTTTAATTACCTTCACTCATGTCAATTGTCAATTGAACTATTTGTGATTAAATTCGTTGAAATAAGTTGTTGAAACAATTCGTTGAAATAAATCGTCAATTGAACGGTCTTCGATTGAATTTGTTGAGATTAATTGTCAATTAAATGGTTTCCAATTGAATCGGACACATATTAATCGTCAATTAAACACGATAATTAATTGAAATTGTAAATAATTACTCGCAGCCCTGTTTTAGTACACAAAGTTATATTAGAGATTTTTCTGTTTTATAATCCTCGGTCTACATTACATGATTTAAGTCTTAAGCCTTAAAAACTAACCAGTTATAGTCAAATTTGAGGAGAATAATCGATTATGATTGGTTAGTTTTTAAGGCTTAAGATTTAAATCACTTAATGTAGACCGGAGGTAAGAAATATACATTTTTACGTTTCAGAAGGAAATAACTTCATGTGTTAAGATCGTTATAGCGATCTGTGTAACAGTAGGTCTGTTCTTTTTAGCTAGACTGCTTGAATTGGTTGCAATAAGTTAAAGTAAAATAAAATATATTTGTCTCATTCTAACTTATTGCACCAGTGTGCACCAGTTCAGACAGTTCAGCTAAAAAGAACAGACCTAATAAGTCACAAAATGGTTTGGACGCATTTCGAGCACTGAAGTTGCAGTGCTTCAAGGTGTCAAAATTAAGAAGCATTACTAACGGATTTGTACACATAAATCGGTTATGACAGAAACCAAAGTGACAATAAAAGATGAAAATAAATTTAAAATAACGTAATGATGTGGTAATACATAAAGTAGTACTTTGAGTTCAAATATTGTAATAGTGGTATTTGAAGAAATGCTTAAAGAGGGACTAAGAAGAGAATATATGCAAATAACTTTATCGGCAGTGTACTCAGAATAGGCACAGTAAAATAAATATATACGAAAAATTTGATTATTTGGAATAAAAGTAAGTTTATAATGTTTGTCCTTAAGATGTACATATATTAATTATAATACACATAGATCGTATAATTTATTTTTTCTCATAATAATTATTTACATCATTATGCGATTTATATCGAAAATGCGAGAACATTGGATTGAGAGTTTGAAAACACGGACGAGATTGTAACAAACGAAGTTTTTTGCTTAGTAAAAAACCATAAAATTTCAAAATACTATTTTATGTATTAACACGCCATCTCGTTATTTTAAATTTATTTTCATACATCGTACTGTCACTTCGGCTCCTGTCATAACTAATTCATGCGCAAATGCGTCAGCAGTGTTTCTCAATTTTGATATCTTGAAGCGCTACAACTTCAGTGTTCGAAATGCGTCCGAACCATTTTGTGTCCCACTGTACTACACATGATACACATTATCGTTAATTTGTTATTACATATCTATATGTGGTTTTATGAATTATTATTATGTGCGCGTAGAAATAAAAGACCCAAGAAATAAAGTAAGCTGCTTTCCTGTGATTATATATATTACCTAAAGCACATATGGAATACACAAATCTTAAAGCAAGTAACGTTAATCCGATGCAATTTTTCATGAAATGCATCTTCAGATATTCTAAGACAAAAAGAGAGAAAGAGAGAAATAGAAAGAAAGAGAAGGGGAGAGAAAAAGAAAGAGAAATATGTTGCATATCTTAATTGAAACTGATATAAAGACGTGTACATATTTTTAGGATAAGAAAGATTACGGTGGCGAAAGTATGACATCGATCTTATCAGTGTTGACTCGCACAAGGTGCACGGAATACGGATCGTATCTTAGCATACTCGGAAACGGAGAACATTGCTGGCGCACCGGGCTGCGAAAGCACACAGCTAAGTCCGCGGTAAATTAGACATTTCAAGTTTACATTCTGGAGAGAAATGGCCAAGTCGGGCATGAAATTTAACAAGCATGACATTCGCGTAGTCTTCGAGACACACGGGACTACACGCTCTTTGAATTAAATAATTAACGATGGATTTTAAATTACGCATTGCATCGCGTAACCTTGTACATCCTGTATTCTTACACAGAATCGGTTCTTCTACAAGACGCGATTGGCTTTCCCAGCTGACTACGGCCGAGTGATAACTTTCATGAGCGACGCGTACTTGAAACACGACCCGGTGATGATGAGCGCAGGTTTAGCCGAACGAGAGCCCGAGCCGTCGCTGCTGAGGCTCATGCACGACGAGGTGAGCGAAGGCATGACGATAATCGCCGAGGGACAGGACAATTGTATCGTGGGCGCCGCGGTGAACGCCGGCTGCTGTCCTTGGGATCCTGACAAGTTCGTCGAGTTCGCGAGGTGCTGCGAATGCGGGCCGACTCGCGACGTGATCGAGTTCTGGGCTTACGTGACCCGCAAGCCGAATCTTTGGCAGCGTCGCCGCGTTCTCAAGATCTTCGAGTGCAGCTGGCTCGCGATCGAGCCGGACCACCGCGGCCAGGGTATCGGTAGAAAGCTCGTGCTGGAGAGCTGGTATCTCGCGCGCGATTGCGGCTATCGATTGTTCCGTATTGACTGCACCAGTAGGTGAGCACGATTGTCTGACCGTGGAATTCTGGTTATATAGGCTCGCGCGGAATGCGAGTCGTTTCGGCGCACGACGTTTGTCCGACTTCGTGGGACCTTGAGTGATTTTCGCGAACGACGCTGTCAACGCGGCGAGAATCGCGCGCCAGGTCGTAGTACGCCCTGCGATGCTGAACGAGACTGTTACCGCGTGATCCGAACTTCTCCTGTGATAGGGGAAGATATACGGCTGATGTATGGCCTCGCGTCGTATTAAAAGAATAACGATCGGCTTAATTAAGATCGGTGCGACGACTCGATGCTTTTCTCGGCTCGCGTACGCTCAGCGCGTCACTCGATATAAAGACATTATAAGCAACGTGTCACTATCGTTGCAGTCATATTTTACGTAAATCGGGTTACAGCGTGCAAACTTAAATTGACAGATTTACGCGGCTATTAATCTGAAGTCTGATATGCAGCTTAGCGCGAATGTTATGTTTTCTTTCTGTTGGAGGCACACCGCGCAAATCGCGAGAGGTTTCGGATGGGAACGAGTGTGCACGATCCCTCTCAACCGACATGTCAACAGAAACGGCGAGCTCCTCTTTAAGCACATTAGACAGCCGCATACCGAAGTAGAGGTTTACGTGGATAACGTGACGTTTTGCAAAGACTATCATCTACCTTATAAAAAGCGCAAAACAACATCGGTGCACAAAGAAGAGAGAAGCTGACATTTTCCGATTTGGTTCGTCAGTGATGTATTCACGTACTTTGTAGACTGTTTGTGTAGTAAATCTAATGTTTTCTCTTGTACTAATGGAGTTGACTTACGAGGAATCTTGCGCATCTTAATTGACGCAATACGCTTAATTTATTTCAATGTGGGATAAACTACACAATTATTAGCATCTCCCTTAATCACTCTTTGGCACTCTAGGGAGAATTAGTTCGTTATACGATCAGCACTGCAACTAAGCTTCTTGCTTGTATTCTATGATTCCAAAAGAGATTTTCACAACCGAAATTATGAACAAATGCCGTTAGTCGCGAAAGAACCGAATTTTTCTAGAGTGCCAGTGACTAAGGAGGATGTTAGTGATTGTGTGGGTTACTCTAAATCGTTAATATGATTCTTTATAACTCAGATAACTCAGACGATTGTCAAGCATATATTATTGTCTTATGTGCTGCTTATCGCTATGGAAAATTACAGAGAGCAAGTTATCAAGGAGATATTCAAACGGAGATAATAAAGCTCGGTGGTCTCAATGTACCCGTGTCCCCAGCAGTCTGGAAACAAAGTTTTCGCTCGCGCTGATGACATACATTGATTTCGCAAGTACTAATCCCGACAGTCGGGCTTATTGGAATAGTCTGTGACAGCCGAGAACAGTGATTGATGAGCTCTCAACGGTGGCTTATCCCCGCGCGCGCAGATTCCTTTGACTCCGATTGAATAATACATAGCGGCGCGCAAATGAAATTCCCGATATTTGACTTCTAAGCTCTGACTTTCTAGCGAGAGCTAAACTCCCACTGCCTGACTGCCTGCGAAATTACGATTGCTCGGAGTTGCGAGTATACCGATTCCCAAATTCAAGCTGAAAGAGACGGAAACACACTTTCGTATCTAAGAGCCTTCATCGAATACTCGGCGAACGGGGAAACGTGGTGTGGAATTGGGGATCGTCCACCAGACAGACCAAACTATTATCCGCCGGTCAACGTCATAAAACGCAAACAAGCGGTTGCAACCGAGTCGAACCGCGTGATGTACAAGGAGACTAATGTGTCGGAGAGCGCTAATCCAATTGTCCGCCTGAGATGATCTATCGCTGGTTGAGTTAACTCATTTGTAAAACAATTTGGGAGTCGTCGGGTCACCCATTATGATCCATTATTGTTGGACGCACGCACACTTAAATAGGTCACAGCTGCCTTTAAAGCTTCGCGAGTAGTGATAATGACACGTTTATTGAAGCACAAAGTTCTCCTGCGGATCACGCGACATTCATCAACTTTCTGTCGCGATAATGCAGACCGTAGGTGAAATTTTTTTATCCGCGATCATAGAAAGATATTCTGAGCGAAACTTGTAATTATATAGAGTAATTATAGTATCCGGAAAATGAGAAGGAACATGTCTTGTGAGCAGTGTTAAACATTAGTCGATTGAAAATTTCATTGGCTAAAATAACCGGCAAATCAATAATCCAAATTAATCAATCGTCATACATGTAATTACGAATAATTTAATTGAACGATGAAATTAATTACTAGTCAGTGTATAATCAATCACGTCAAAGTTTGATTAATAATTAATTTCATCAATTAACGAAATTATTTGCGATTTTACATATAACGATTGAATAATTTAAATTATTGATTTGCCGGTTGTTTTAGTTAAATAAAATGTCAATCTGTCAATATTCTACACTTGTCCTCAGCGATATTTTAACTCTAGATTGCTACCGCTACTTTATAGATATATTATTATTACCGATACACTTCAGAGACATATATGTGTTTTTATCGCAACCATACTATTTTGACGCTTTTTAAATTTATTTATTAATTCTGTCTTACTACAAGAGTAGCTAAAAGTGGCTAAAATGTGACAAATATTATAAATAATATTCTCCAATGAACTCTAAAAACTGAGTGGGAGTGCGTGCATGCGTAGCCGCAGGACGTCAAGAAGTTAATCGGTTATACGTCTCGGAGATATAACGATAGTAAACTAGGATTAAAACAGTCTCGTTTACTGGATGCAATTCTACACGGAAAAAAAGATATGGCGTACATAATCAGAAATATTTAGTTACGAGCAGTATAGTTGCATCAACCTAGCTATTTAGCTATTTTTGTGTGATGGTAATGTTTATGGTTGATATGACTCAGTTTGCATCAACTACATCAATGTAGGTGTGCGTGGTCTGGTTGTGGTAACTAGAAATCGGTTGGGGTTATGTTTATCATGGATACACTTTGGCTGGAGCAACCAGCCAAAATGTCACTATAATTCAGCAGTTGCTTTGTGGTTGCGTCAACCGCATAATTAGTTATTTCGTATTTTATTATTAAATATTGTTGTTCGTATTTTATTATTAATCTAGGGTTGGCACAATCAGATTTATGCGTAAGTCAACCATACGGCTGTTTCCGTGTAGTACTGACAGCCTTTCAGTTATCATTGCAAAATTACACGGCAAGTTATGTTATTATTATTGAAGAAAAAATAACTTATGTCTCTTGTATGGAAGTTATACATTCAGATTCCAGTATTAGCTTATGGTAATTGGAATTGTTCGCAAGCACAGTATTTATCTTTGAAATTATTCTGCTAATTTCGCAACTTCTACAAGATGTCTCCGAGGAAGTGAATTTTCAAACGTGTTCAAGGTACCGCGCTTTTGTGACAAAACGAAATTTCAAGACTTGTAAACGGCGTATGTCGTCGTAATACGAAATACTCATAATGCAATCTTAGCGTCTGTTAGAAATTCATGAAAGTTTCATCATTCTTGTACCGACATATCCGTTCCTTGCGTAATAATTGCATGCGACGAGATCGCCGCCAGTCGTCTTCGTTTGAGATCAATGTCAACCACATTGATTGTTACATAATTATATCCTGAAGGCTGACGTCGCTATCGCAAACTTCTCTTTAAGTGAAACGGATTTAACTGGGGAAAAAGGATAAACGCGGCTTATGGAGATAGAAGTCGGGATATTATTTCTTAGGCTGGAATATAATTTGCTAGTCAGACTTGTTTCTTGCATAACGCTTTGATTTATTATGCTTTAAACATCCTTTTCTTCCAGGTACAGACATATAATTTCTTCTTTTTCAAGATAAAAACGATTTTTAGTGAGATTGATAAAATCGTTTCACGTAACACAATGGATCAGATTTGCAAAGTCCATCACACGCTGAATCCCGTATCTATTTCCATGCTGGTGTGTTTTCGCGACGGATCATACTAATACGCTTCCGTCTGAGGCTAAGAAATGTATAGGGCATAGTCAAGACGGATTAGAATTCGAGTAGAGACTGTTCGGACCTCTCAAAAACGATCTCGTGCCGATCTCAAGGCCGTAATGATTAATGGAGTTAGGGAGAGCCGCGCGCAGTCCCGTAATACTGTGGCAACTAGCGAGTCGAAATTACAGTTGAGAAACTGCGTGGTGAGTTAAGGGAACCGTTGTCGTTGTCGTCGTCGTCGTCGTCGTCGTCGTCGTCGTCTCGGTCGGGAGGATTCTCTCGTTTCTCTTTGATTCCATAGCCATCCGATCACGTACCGAGCTTGATTTGATTTTGATTTGACGTACACTAGAAACGCATTTAATACACGTGCTTGCGTGCGGTGCGCGCGTGTATCGACTGAGAACAAGCGTCGGTATGATCGCAATCCCGTTTTCATCGCCGCATGTACATATATTGACACGCACACAAAATCGAAATGTTTTCAAATAGCCAAGTATATAGCCTAAGAATCTCCAATAATCGGTTCGTAATATTTTTTATTACTGCCGCTCACAATTAGGATTGCAACGATTTTTTGAAATGTCGATAACGCTATTATTGGCCGTCAGAAATATCGATAATTTCGAGAAATATCAATATTTATATTTGTATTGAAAACATTTAATGAAGTAAAGTTCCCTAATTTATATAATCTTTATTAATCTGTTTGTGTTGATTGCACTTTTGACACTCAATCTCCTCATTCTGGCTTCTTCCGAATATGCATCTGTCTCGTTCTAAGGCCGGTATTCACAGTCGGATCTTATGTTTAAGATCGTCTTAAGTTTATTTTCAGGTGCTATACGAATTATTTCATTGGCTACGGAGTACCTGAAGATGAACTTAAAATAGTCTTAAATATAAGGGCCGTGGCATACAGAGAAACTTAAACAGTAAGATGTAAACAGTAAGCAAATTGACCAGTTACAATTGCTGATTCTTTTTACGGTCCAAGAATCAATGACTGTGATTGTCAATTTGCTTACTGCTTAATATTGCAATTCTAGACAAAATCATAAAACTCGTAACTTATTTTCGTAAGACTCGTAAGTAGATTTATGAGTAAATCTTCAATTCTATGCGGACCGTATGTCATATGATAACTCGTAAATATCTACGATTTTTTTTTCGTAAGCTGCGACTTTACAATTTTACGATTTACTCATATATTTGCTTAGAATTGCAGCATAAGTTTTTCTGTATGCCACGGCTCTAAGATCCAATTATGAATATCATAAATGCGAAAAGTGCGAAGAGTGCGAAGAGTGAAAGTAACACGAACAAACCTTAAGATTTAGACTGAGTAACTAGGATTTTTAGTTTATTCAATTTTAGTTACTTCTGCTCAGATTTACCGTCAATTTTATCTTCCTTTAAAGTATATAAAGTAATATCCTGATTGGTTCTTCAGTCTAAATTTACGTCTTATGTTTGTGGTTACTTCAATTTATGTACGAAAACTCTAATACCCGATTTCATCTTAATCGCCTTAAGCGCCGATTAAACTTTAATATTAATCGTAAGTTGAAGTCTTATCGTAAGTTGTCTGAAAAGAGTTAAAATTCAAATAAAAATTTAATTGATGTTGGTGAAATTAGGTTTAAGGCGGAACAAATTGAAAATCACAAAATATCGTTGAAATTAATATCAATATAAAGATATAGAAAAAGATATATAAAGAGAAAATATTATCAATAAGTTATCGATATTAATTGATGATATATTTCGACATTATCGAGTTATAGTTGCATTTCTATTCACTGTTTCTATAAATTTTGAGAAAAGTAAGGCAAAAATATCAATCCTCGCACATGTATAATTGGTTGCAAATCTGTTTGCATATTTTTCATCAAATGAAGTTGCAATGCTCTAAGTTGTCAGAATTGAACGTTACTGTTGGCATGTATGCGTGATTATAATATGTAAAAATTATTTCTCAAAATAATGTGTTTTCTTAATTTAAAGTAAATTCTTTCTTTTAAATCATAAATCATATTCTATACTGTTGTTTCGGTTCTTGTCATAAGGTCTGTTTGTTTTTACTTTTGATATTTTTACACCCGTCGCACATTGAACTTCTCTTTAGAAAAAAAATCTCTCATTGAAATTCGTTCATAGCGTCTGGTGTGCAACAGGCATTAGGTGCAAAATATCAAAAGTGCAAGCAACGTGAACAAACCTATAATTGATTACTGACAACTTGTACTGAAAACGTTGCAATGGTTGTAACTTCGTTCGATAAAAAGTGTGCAAACCAACTATATTCC